CATTTCTATCGGAAGATGAAGTTTTCCGAATATTGAACACTAATAAGTTGGACAAACAACATCTGAATAACTCCGACTTGTCGTATCTGTTGGATCTGGAAAACATTTGTAAATGTGACACTCCGAATAATGATACTTACCTTATAATAATAACTATGTCTACCCCAAGTACGATTGTTCGGCGCAGCCTCATTCGCAACTAATCAGGGAAGTTTATGGGTACCAAATAAGACAGGTGTTTTTCACTGGAATGCCGTCAACAAATGAAAATTTCCAAAAAATGAAGAAAGAGCACGAATTGTTTTCTGACATAGTTGTAGTCGACATTGTGGATTTTTACAACGATCTTACACTGAAGACAATGGTGATGTTGAAATGGGCAGTGACGTACTGCCTACATGTGAAGTACGTCATGAAAGTGGAAGATGACGTTTTCATCAACTTCGACAACCTCATAGGCCTTTTGAGCAATGTAAAGCGAAACAATTACATCGTAGGTCACGTGTACAAAAATGCAAAACCCATACGAGACGACCAGAATAAATGGTGTACCAGTAAAGACTATTGGGCACTCAATATCTTTCCAGCGTACATAAGTGGTGTGGCCTACGTAATGTCAGTGAATGTTGCAAAATCAATTTAACAATCAGCATGCCATATGAAAATGTTCATTTTTGAGGATGTCTACGTTGGATTGAACCTGTTAAATTTATCAATAAAGCCAACACATCCTAACGGGTTTGATCGTTACGGTGTATGTAATGCAAAACCACGCTAGTTACATGACATAATGTCGCACCACACACCACCCATACTGGTATCAACGCCAATGAAGCAATTAACGACGCTAAATTATAAAGAATTGTGTACGAATTATAGATCTCAAAATAAATTAAAATTAATTAATTTACTTTAATGAGCATGAGCATGAGCATGAAAGAGCCATAGCTACATGTATTTCATATTACTTTTATGTGATCAGAAAACGTTCTGAAAAATGTTGTATTTATTTTTATCAAGATTTTGAGATTTGTCTGACGATATGGCAATGATTAATTAAACCGCAAGAGGG